CCACTTGAGGAGTTCTGAATAGAACATATTGACAGAAGAAAACTATATCTTAAATGCTATTTTCTTTTTTTTTTTTTACAATTTTGGTGTAATTGCTGCTCAAAGCTGGTTTCTATGTCAGCTAAAGAGCAGGTAATAATTAACCAATTACTAAATACGTTGACAATTATTTCAATCGAAAAATTAATTGTTTCAGCCCTACCTCTAACCCTATTATAAATAATGAGCGCTCACATCAGATTAAAATGATTGATGCCGCTTTTAAAGAGAAGCCAAAACAGGCTTAATTGAGTATCTGCAAATTTCCTATGGAGCACCAATACAACCCGATTTTAGTCGTTTGTTTTACAAAATCTATAAAAGCTGAATTGGTTTTCCATTGTTTCGAATATCTAGAGCCTCACCACATTAGCACACTAAGTCAGGGCTGTTCAAAACTTCATCTGTCCATTGATAGTGTTTCTGCAAAACACTGGAGGTTTGAGCAAAACCATGAGAACAAAATTGTAGTTTATACGAATACAACCAGGCAAACTGAGAAGTATTGCTACCAAGACAAACAGAAGACATAGCTGGAATGGCCTTGCTGGTGTTTATGATCATGCAGAGAATAAGAAGATAAGGATGAAAAATTAAAAACTGACCATGTTATGGCAGGCAGGCAAGCAAGCATGTAACCACTCTGAGCTTTAAGGACCCCCCCACCACCAACTCCATCCTCACACCTCCAGGCAGGAAAGGGATCATTACTCCTCATTGCAAAGTTATTCTCTGGTAGCCACGGCACACTTCCTACAGCGACGCTAAACATTTTAGAAATTCAATTTTTGTAAGAAAATGTAAATTAGTTAGTATCCAAATCTAAAACAAGCAACTTTGGTTCCTGGCAAAATAAAGTTATAAGTCGAAACAATTTAAAGAAGAACCAGAGAAGAACTCAAAAGCTGAGCAAGGGGAAAGGACAAAAAAAAGGTGAGGAAGTAATGTGGACAGTGAATGGATGCTTTCCATCTGCTCTACAGTGGCATGAGCAGTCGTGTGAAGTGGTGAAATAAAAAAAAAAAATATGAAAGGATGAAGAGATGACTAGGGAGGAAGGGAGAAAGGGGGGGAAAAGCAGAATTAAGAGGAGAGAGGCAGAACCTGGTTGTGAGCCCGGGTGGAGGGGATGCTCTGCAGGCACCTGAGTGCACACAAACTCTCAGCCACCGAGGAGCAGCCCAGCCAGAGAGAGCGAGGCACAGAGCACTGTGTGAAAGAGAGAGAGGAAGGGAGGAAGGGAAGAGGAGAACGAAGTGGACAGGGTGAGGGAGGAGTAGAAAGGAGAGCAGGAAACCAGAGATGGGTCATAAAGAAAAAAAAAAGATAAAAAGAGGAGGAAAGATGACGAGGGGAGTTAGTTGATGAAGAGCAAATCATTTGAGTGAACGGAGAAGTCAATGGATGCACAGATGGGGTGAATTGTTGAGGAACAGGGCCAGTGAAAGAATTTTAGTTCAAGAATTCAAAAGTAATGGGTAAATAAACAGGGTTTGGATAGAAATTAAGAGAGGACGAGTGTTTAACCAACAAAGGTGAAGAGAGAAGAGGGAGAAGAGGTGGGGTGGGGGGGGATAGTGAGGGGAAAAACCAGTATTAGAGCTACACACACATTTGGCACAGTGAGCGTAGGAACACACATTCACACGCAAGATACAGACTGATAAACACACACACACCAAAGCATTAATAGACATGAATAAGGTGGAGATAGGTGGGAGGGGGGGTGAACGGGTTTAATTGCCAAATAATTTTGTTTGTATGTTGATATGGAGCCCCACCCACTGTTCTGCCAACCCCACTCTCAAGAGTGGTTAGTGGATAACACTGGAACAAAATATATAGAAAATGAAAACAATCACAAAGACAAAAACTAGGCAAGGTCCAAAAATGTATAGCAGGTCTTTAAATCTTACTGTTGAACCTAAAATGTTTCTTGGATATTTATTTAAAAAAAAAAATAAGGAAGTGAAAAACCAAAGTCTATTGACTACACCTGCTGTGAAATAATTATTTTCCTCATTTATTATATTCAAACTTTGTTCCCTTCAGTCTGTTTTAAATTTTTGCAAATTATCCTTTGTCACTGGGCTCCTGAGACAACACCTTGAATTGTAGTGAGCACAGAAACTATTCTGATTTAATCATCCTACTAGGGAAACTCAAACTATCAACCAGGTGCAAAACATGAAGATTTATCTGCTTTAGTATAGAGAAACATTAAAGAATTAGCTTTCTAATGTAAGTTGAGCAATCTATTATTACTTAAAGAAAACATCGCTATTACACCGTTTATCATGGGTTTGAAATGTTCTCAAGAGGAACCAAAACCTGTGAAGTACTTCAAATATGTCTATTCTATCCAGACCAATATATATAAATCATTTTGACGATAAGGTGAAATGGAAATAAATACGGGATTTATTGTTTAAACTATAATATTTCTCTGGGAATTTTCACCTTTGCTAACATTTGGAATGCTAACATTAGGTTAGCCTACTAGCTTACAGACACAGCTACTAGCTTACAGAAAAATAGCCTTAACGGTTGTATAAAGGTTATAGTTTTAAGAATACAATTAAACACATCTAGACGAAAAGTATCCATATTCGACGCTGATATACAAATCGTGTTTTTGGTACAGACATTTCTCTGAGTAACGCAGGATAAATTTACCCTGCTAGCTCTGAAGCTAAGTGCTAATGCTCGCGGATGGTGGCATCTCTGTGTGAATGAAAAGGCAGTACTTCCTTCTACGCACTTCAAAAAATATAAACACACCAACAGCATTTGTGGACCATATGTGCCAGTTGTATTTGTGTAATTTTTATATTTGAATGTTCGCCCAAAACTGCTAAAAAGTATGACGTCTGACCATAAACAACATAGTATAAAAGGCGTAAATTGACGTGGTTCATCGTCTGCTAGCCTGCGTTAGCCGAAGGAAGCTAGATAAGTATCAGACAGGGCCCAGTTAAAGTGGCGCAGCGTCACCGCAGTGAACACTACACCGAGGATTCTCACCCGTCTTCCGCCGATGACCGGACAAAAACTGTATACTTATAATCCTTATTTGTGCCCTATTCTAAAAAAATCACAACATAGTTTATTTGTTTAAATAAACGTCTGAAGCTCTTGTTGGCTCATCGATGTATTAAACATTGGTAGCGAAATGTACCGACATGTTCAGGCCCTCCCTCTCTGATTTCTGTTCCCCCTCCTTTCTCCTCCACCTCTCCCGACGAGCCGCTTCGCTTCGGTTCACTCCTGCGGTCAAATCAAGCCTAAGGGTCTTCGCCAAGCATAAGCCCGACAGCGATCTTCTCGCTTGGGTGGTGTGGTAACGCTGAAATCAATCTTACCATCAGTTCCACCGTTTTGTCTTCCATCTCCGGCTCCATGTTGATGATCCCCCCCGAAACTCGCTGTGAAAATGGAAACCCAGCCCTGCGTCGGCGGCCCGCAAATTCAGAGACGTCATTCACTTCGCGCAATCACACAGCTTTGGTAGGGCAGTGTCAAAAGGGTGGGTGGGAGAAAGGGACCGCCCATGTTATGAGCGAGGATGCTGATTCGGGGGCTTTTGACTGAGGAGGTGTGGCCTAACTGCTAAGCTCATTATTGATTGGCTTACTGTGCTACTAAAGCTTTCCCCGGTGACTCCCCCAAACAAAAAGGCAAATGGATGTGGATGCTGTTGCTATCCTGAAGAGAGATACACCAAGGCAAAATCAATCATCCGCATAGCGTTGCATTGAATGGATGCAGGATGTTGGTCATTGAAAAAGCCGTATGTGAATACAGGCACTATGCTTTTGGTCAAAATTGACTTGATATTCAGTGCATATATAAGCTCAAATAATGACATTGTTTTTCATTCAGATTTCTATAAAACAAAATTGACATGAGCTTTAATATCAAAACATGAAATACAGGTACTCAAATTCTCAGTACACCAGGCTTGTAAAGCTTTATTCATTGTTCTTTACCTAACTTAATCTTTAAATGGTGTTCTTGTGTATAGGATGTAGTCACTTATAACCATAATTGTGCTACACTTTTTTAATGGACATGCTGGCTCAGAGTTTTTTTAAAAACTTGTTTTAGGCATTTTACTTGAGGAAATACAACTTTCACAAGGATAATGAAAATACCATATCAATAACCAGTTTAATCAAGCCATATAAAAGGTCAATATATTCAAATCGATCATAACATCTGCTTATCATCTATTCATAACTTATTAGCCTGTTTATTATTTACTCAAGATTATTTTCCACAGTTCCAATTCAACGTTCCCTACAACAGAATTACATCCATAGATTCCTTTTTCTTTTTTAAAAGGTTCATAATGTAAAGAACCCAATTAAGGACACTTGTGACATAATTTTGCACCTAAATGGATCATACCAACTGGATCTTAAAAAGAAAAAAAAAGTATTTAGGATTTTGAAACTTACTTTCAGGCAAGGTTAAATAAATCCAGCCTGTTTGGAGCCACTAATCACATTTCCAGATTGATAACAGGAGTATTTTAGATTTCCCTTACAAAACTCCTGTATACCTCATTCAATTTAGACCATAATAGATAAAAACAAAATGGGGAGAAGTGGTGTACCGTTTTCTAATTGAATTATCTCACAGCACAGGATCAAGACCAGAGCACAAGGAGGTCAAAATGGTTTTCAGCAGTTCAAATTTAATACTTTGTCCCCCTTTCTCTACAGAAACCCAGGTAAAAAAAATCCCCCACTCTCATAAAATACAACAGCAGCAGTTACCAGTAAAAAAATGAAATGCAAAAAAAAGAGGAGAGAAAGCAAACAGGAGAGGGAAAGAGAGTAGGGAGATGAAGAGGCAAGAAAGGAAAATATATATTTTCTATATCTGAGGAACCAGTCCAAAGTCCATCATCAGACCGAGTAAGGGGGCAAGAAGAACTCTGGGAACTTGCTGTTGTGTTCGTTCAAAATGGAGGGGAGAAGGGGCAAAAAAAAAGAAAAAAAAAAGAATCAAAGTGAGTCAAGTCCAATCCAACAAGGGGAAGGAACCAGCACTCTAAGGCAGGGATTTTTTTTCATGAAGGGCTTTCTCCCTCTCTGGATGAAGGAAACTCTCGCTCCTCTTGAGCCTCTGTGAAGCTTTTTGTTGTGTACAGATGTATTTTGCAAGTTTGTGTATGCAACAGTTAAATCGGAAGGTGTGTCAGTCATATATATGGTCAACACGGTTGCCCCTCTCACTTGCTGCAAGAGAGGTGGCATTTTTCTTTCCTTAATTCTTCATTCATTCCTTTCTTTTTTTATTCTCCCAATATCAGTCTGAGACTACCTAGTAGTCATCCAAATCAAAGAACTCGTCGTCCTCTCCTTGGTACTCCATGCCCTGGAAATCCACCCTGTACCGCAGGATACCTGTGTGACACAAAAAGATTTAACATCAGACAACTTGTTACTTTTGGCAGAATAGCTGCAACATTAAAGATTTTATTAATTCAACCAATGAGTATTTAAAGTATTCTTTTAATAAAGACCCCATCACCTGTAGCATATCTGGTTGATACATTTTTGCATTATTTGTATTCACATATCCAGTTATGGTAAAAGACCTGTACTTATATAGCACTTTTTAAAGTCAGGAGACTTGACCAAAGCAATTTACACTACATTCAGTCATTCACCCATTCACACACTGATGGTGGCAAGCTACATTGTAGCCACAACTGCCCTGAGGCTCACTGACAGAAGAAAGGGCGCTGTACACTGGCGCCATCTGGCCCTCTGACCACCATCAGCAGGCAATGCATGTGAAGCGTCTTGCCCAAGGACAAGACACTGAAAGTTAGAACAGTGGCTTGATCCGACAACCCTCCAACGCCACTGTTGCCCCAGTTATATCACCAAGTTTTCAATGTTAAAATATTAAATCTGGAGTACACAAAGTAATTGAGATTTAAAGAAAAAGTAAGCAATTTCCCTGCAGTCAGAACATTGTTTTTTGGGGGGTCACTAAAATGTCAGGATCATAGAATTACTCAAATTTGGGACATTTTAGAGCTGCAAGGGCTCAATCTTTAAAGTAAAGATCATTTTAAACAAGTGTGTTCTACTATAAACCTCCTTATACTGACCCCCAATGCCTCCAAAGCCCTTGACAAACTGTGACCCTTCCTGACTCTTGTCCGTTACGATTTCCAGCGTTGCTCCAAACTTCTTGTAGTTGTTTGCGAACCACTCCAGCAGTGGCATGCTCTCGATCAGCTCGTGTTCCTGCCCCGTCTAAGAAATTAAATAAATACATAAGGGAATAATGAGTTTGGAAACGCTGCATCATGTGTCATAGTTCTTATTTAATTAAATATGCAGTGCTCACCTCCTTGTCTGTGAAGTGTGACTTGTCCTTCTCTTGTTCAGGCGTCAAGTACAGAACCTTCTCGTCTAATTAATTAAAGCGCAAAGGTCAGAATTTATTAGCACAATAATCCCATGGATTGATCGGGGTTAAAGTTACACTTAAAATGGTAATAAGATGTGTACCATTCTCTGCGCCGTTGCTTTCGGCCCCATGTACGCGTAGAACATAACGCATGGTGTCCAAGTTCTCATAAACTATGAGGATCTCCACTGCTCCCATTTCCAGGGCTTTCAGCGTGTCCTCCACCCCGAAACAGTACTTCCCCGTATCCTGACTGATCTCATCAAAGTACCGCCCTGTAGAAAGAAAAATAAACATAAAAATCTAAGTAGAAAAACACTTTTAAGCGTACATGAGGATACAAAGCAATAAATGTACCTATGAGCTTCTTCTCCTGGATGAACTTAACATTTGAAAGGACTTCTGCCGATAGCTCGATAGCTTGGTTGAAACCGTTTTCTCCTCCATAAGAAATGTCAACCAGCTTCAAAACCTTAGCCTGTAACCTCTGTAATAAAATACATAAAACTGTTAAATATCAAAATTATTGTCTTCATTTATTTGAAGACTGAATATTGGAACTACAGAAATTCTGTGGCTTTACACTTTTTAACATTTGAGAAGGCAATTTGCAAACTTACAGGGTCAAACATGTCAGACTGACTTAGTTCAGTCTTAAAATCAGCAGAACCAGCCAGTACCATTCCTGCCACATTAACTTTGTCGTTGGACACAAAGAGCTGGACAGCGGTTTCAGCCACTTTCCTCACGTAGTTATGTCTCTTTTCCATTCTTAAACGAGCAAAACGCAGAGCTGACTGTCCTCCTCTGCCTGTAAGAGGGAGATAAATTATATTAAACCAACGCAGCCTAGTTATCTAATAATCCTCCCTGCTGTTCAAAAAAAAAAAAAAAACGCGTTATCATCATTGTGCAGTACCGTGCTTCTTGGGTAGGTCCACAGTGAACTTGTGCAGCACCTCTCGGGTGTTGCCCTGCAGCGTGCCAAAGAGAGCCCCGCTTCCGTCGATCACAATAAAGCCAAACTTACTGTCGTCAGAGAGCAGGGCTGTCAGTGCCTGTGAAATGAGGGAAAGGCACCACTTACACACTGAAAATTATCTACAAGAACAATAAATAAAAGGATGTCATATTAAGCTCACCTCGGTGTGGAATTTGTTATCGCAGAGGTACAAAGAGGTGTTGATTGGTTTAAAAGGCTCAAAGTCGATATTGACTTTTTTCTCCTTGCCTTCATCTGTCACAATTGTGCCACAATATACAACTAAACCATTTGGTGGCACTGAAAGAAAGCAGACATACAGGTTAGACAAGTGTAAGACTTAAAAACCAATGCACAAGAGTCTATTTGGGGGGTAAATCGACAGCATTTTGAGGAAAGAGGTAACTTAAATGAAGTGTTTTTAGTTTAGAAAATGACTATGGTTTTGTCAGGGGGTTGGGGTTCTACAATGTCTGAAAATATTACAGTTCTTATAAAATTTCATATTAAGTGTGGTTTAGGGATTGTTAAGTTTGTGTGTTGTTAAACACTGAAGAAGATAAGAATTATTTATTGCATAATAGTTATGAAAAAAATCCAATGTTTGCATATCTCAAACATTGAGGGTGATTAAGATTGTTTGTTCAGGTATTAAAACTCCTACAAGGAATCCATTAAACCAATCTTTCATCTTAACATTTTTAAATTTGATTAAATGCCACAATAGAGTACCATTTAGTAAAGTTGTACTATTGAGTGTCAATGCAGTAGTAAAGTTCTCTTTTTGATAGTAGTGGAGGTTTATTTTAATAGCTGTACTTATTTTGTAAGATGCTTAATGCAACTTACAGATTTACAAAACAGAAGATTATAGAGAGAATATTTCATAACTTTTTAATCGTCACTAACCACAATTACAAGAACTCACATAGAGGAACACCTTGCCAAGGCAATAACACTGGTAACTGTTGAGATTATATCAGGTGTGATGTGTGCCTATTTTTCCTCATATCATCCCTGCTTCTAAAATCTGATTTTTATTATATTGGGCTGTCTTTTTTGTCTGGTGTGAGCATCTGTTGCCTCAAACCTATCTGGCTAATATTACATTAACATGTAAAATGTAAGTCGAAAACTACAAATACTTTAGGGAACAATTACCAAGCTACAAACAGTCCTTTGCCTTAAGAATGTTGCACATGCTGATATTAGCAAGACAATATATTCTGGCAGTATATTGTAAAATCCTTTTGAATGCAACAAAAGATTAAGATTCGACTTTACATCGCTTCTCCTTTCTGGTCAGTAGGTTTTTTAATAAAGGTCCAGCAAGCTTATACGCATCCCTGGAAAAAAAAATAAAGGGTGATTTTGTTGTAACACATACCTTTGTTGTAGAGTTTTAGTCTTTGCTGTACAGAGGTGATGGCCCCGAGTACTGAGAGTCTGTTAACTCGACTTTTGATGTTGGAAGCAGTTCCAAACTCATCAGCCAACATCTTGGCTACTCTGGAAATCTGGTCCTTTGGAGGAATGATCAATGAGATCATGCTGGTGCCATTGCTATGTAAGATATGAGGATCAAAAGTTAGTGTAACCAAAACAAAACAAAAAAACCCACAACATATATACAACTTTAATTACAAGTAATAGTTAATGAAGACTTTTACAAGCGAAGATGCTCAATACACCTAACAACTCTTGGTCTGACATGTTAACATTTGTAAGTAAGAAAAAGTTTTCAATGCAATAAAACTTCTGACCTTTCTATTACAGCCTTACAACTCAAAATGTATCTTTATTAAAGACAAAGTAATAACACTACTTGCAAAATTTAAAAAGCAAAACTTGTGATAAGTCCACAAAGGTGATCTTTAACCCATAACCAGCCAAATCACTGCCCTTGAAAGCAAGGACTACTCCTGTGTATATTTTCATGACCTATTAGGAAGACAAAGCACACTTGTACACACTAGCACCACACACACACACACAAACACAGAGGCAGGTAGCAAGGGCAGCATGAATGTAGGGCAAATAGTCATCTGCTTTAACACAGCAGGCCTCAGAGCACAGGACAGCAGATTCTGCGCAACACTATATGACAAGCTGTCATAGAAAAGCAATATGTCCCAGCTGAGGACGCACCATTCAGATGTGAAGCCTATGCATATAGCATGCTTATATAATCCCTGAGCAGATTTCATACAGAGCCACAGTAAGCGGCTCAACCATTAAAGTTACACCTTTAATGGTCGCTGGCCATGAGGTGACCAACCAAAAGGACCCTTTTAGGGATTTAAAAAAATCTGTCATGTGAGCTATATCAAAATCAAACCAGATCAAGCTGTGATATACATATTTGGGAGCACTTGGAATCAAAATAACCATAGTGTGATATGCATCCTTATTTCCCATTAAACTGCGCTTTGATTTAAAGGCACCCATAGCGGCCTCTTTCCAGAGATGACGTCTGTTAGCGCCTGTGCTAGCATTAACGCTAGCATTGGTGCTCCTAACTCACTACACTTTAAGGAGGCAGACATAAAAAAAAGCTTCTCGATAGCAGCCTGTCAAAATACATAAATAGCAAACCCATCACGTGGTATCAAATATTTCTTAACCCTCTGACAACCCATAGTTAGCGCTTAGCAACCGGCTAACAGAATAGCAGCTAATGCTGCTATGCTAACCACTCCCAAAATCGGCCTCACTTGTTCGATGTCCAGCTGTTGCGGCAGCACACATTCACACCGCTGCTCCTAACCATAAACTGGATCCAAAACACCAGCGGCGTAACAATAACACCTAGTCCGATAAATAGACTTACCCGCGGGCAGCTTCCAAACTTTTGATCAGCTTTTTGATTTTCCATATCTCCACGTTTCTATCCGCCGCGCTGGGGTCGTCCGCCATCTTTCTGCTGTAATAGCTTCAGCACCTGGAGAGACGTTGAAATAAAAGAAAAACACACAGTAAGCTTCCCGGGAAGCAGACTGGAAAGGTGTGCATGTCTGCTGTAATAAACTAGCCCGAGTGCCACTTTAAACTGCTAGGGCGATCATCGTTACAGCACATGCCCGCGACTTGCAGTTGAACTGACCGTGAGGGAAGGGCTCCGCTTGGTCTGCCGCTAGCACAGAGCGCGGAAAATGTCAGGCCTGCTGATAACCAGGCCCTAGAGTCCACCCTGTTCTTATCTAATACGACCTACTTTCTTTGCGTTCCCTTGGAAACCATACGGAGATCATTTGGTCGCTTTTAATATGTTAAGTCTACGAATAAAAAAAAACTGCCGGTATATTACCTGCCTCGGACAACGCCGCTCCGCTCCGCTCTCTTTCTACTGCGTTACGTCGAGTCGGTGGTGCGAGGAATGACGTTGCGTTCCTAACCGGTTTCTCTGCGCGTGGTGCTTTCGGCAGGAGCTCACATGTGGGAGGTGGTTAGAATCATGGCGTTCACTTCCTAGAAACCACATAGAAACCAATGAGATCTCTCAGATGGTCCGTCAATCAAAGCCCAACTAAAACGTGATAGGACACAATTTAAGGACTTTCCCCCAAAATGGCGATGACCTGCAACTAACGCTCATGGGAGTTGTAGTATTAGAATAAGGATGCAAATTTTGAAATAAATAAAACGACTGAAAGACAGTGGACATGTGTAAAGCACTTATTTAGACATTAACGAAAGTATATAAACTCCATCGTCTTGGTCTCATGACGACAGAAACATGACTGCCATGGAAATCCATACAAATATACATAAAATAAAATTTAATGCCATTCTAAGATCAACAAAATATTTGATTTTGGTATAATTCATTAATCATTATTTAAGATACTAGTCTAATAGGAAACAAGTAAGTTTGTTTTCCTCTTTTATTCACAGTCTTCACTTGACAAAGCTTCTTTATGTCAGACTCAGAACAGTATTTTGTGATCATTTTAAATCCCAGCTATGTATCTTATGACATCTAAGGGTATATTCAGCTGGCAGAATCTTACCTGCCTATCAATCACCTTCTTGTGTGCTCCTGCTCCAGCACAGCTCAAACCAATCATTGTTCAAGACTTTCAATCTAAGCGTATGAAGCCAAGTACACTCTCCTTTAAATTTTTTTTCTTCTTCATACGATGGCAGTTTTTTGTTTGTGTCACAGTATTTCAGATCTTCAAAGACAAGTTTTCACCAAACAAGGAGGACATGAGAAGACACAAATTCAGTTTTCAAACAATGAACTAATTTGTTAACAGCATAAAGATACCCAGATGTACTGTGGGAAAAAGAACTTGCCCCTAATTTTCTGTGCTTCCTATCAGAACAGTTGAAATTCAAATGTTGTTGAGGAATTTTTGTCCACATTGTTGAAATACTGTGTTCTAGGTTTCTCAAACACTAATGCATATTCTAAATCATGGCATCTTAATCAGGTTTGAATTTCAACTTTATCCAGGTAATTCCAAAACCTACATTTTCCCCTGAGGTATGTGTATGTATGCATTATTGTCTTGTTGCTTAACTGGCCAGACATCTCAATTTGAAAATTTCTAGTAAAAAGTAGAATAAGTAGAACAAGTGTAAAAAAAAAAACTGTTAACCAGCTCAAGAAAATCACAATCACATCACTGCCACATTTCTCTGAAATGCTGTGTAAGTTTGAAATGATAAAAAAAAAAAGAAATATTCTATTGATTTCTTTTCATTCCAAACAATATTTTATTTTCTTTGGAGTTCATGACATTCTCAATAAAAAATATCTGAGCCATTCTGCTCTATTTCATCAGCAATGTCTAATTCTTAGTGTTAAATTATAAAAAGTAAAGTGAGTGAGGCTTGCTGTGTTGTACTGGGTCTTTTGTGCTCTTCTGAATGATTTTGAATTTCAGTCTTGGAAAGACTCAAAAGAATGTTGCTACAAACCAGAACCACGTTTTAAAGGTTTAGCTAGTCATAAATTCTACCACATCATCGTTCCCAGGTACATTCATTAGCACAGTTTAATGTATTCCTTTTTCCAAGTGTAAACTTTTTCTAATTAACAGCAAAACTGTTTGTATCATATATCATATTGCACTTGATGAAATATGTTCAAAATAATTATCTGACCGTCCCGTAAAGCACATAAACTCCAACAAGATAATTCCCATGACCTGTTCCCCCTGAAGGAAAATTACAGTTTGTCTTATGTCAAATCAGCAATTCTGGTTGATTCTGATGTTGTGGTTGATGATGCAGATGTAGATCACCAGCTCCATAATAAGTAGTTTGACCCTGTATTGTATGGTAGCATTACTGTTGTGTTGTAAGTTGTAGTAATAAAGTGCTGAGTCAGTTATTGTCCAACAACAACAAAAAAGCTTCCTAAACATTAACATAAGACAGAAGATAAAAAAAGGGAAATATATACAGCTTACATCCATCAATTTTACAAAAAACTGATGGTAGAATAGAATAGAATAGAATAGAATAGAATAGAATAGAATAGAATTTCCCACTGCAGGAAAATTTGGGTGTGACAGTGGCATAGCAAATAGACAGAAGAAAGCTTACAGGCTAAATTATTTTATTATGCACCGTGGGGTTGAGGGGATGGAAATTTCATCTGTGTTGTATGTTTACATGTAGCACATTTGACAATAAAGTTGAGTTGAGTTGAGTTGAGTTGAGTAAATACTGATGAGAAAAAAAAGACTCTGCCCTTTTTAATAACATGGCATACTCAGATAAGAAATAATAAGCAATAATAGACAATGATAATAAGTAAAAACAATAATCAAGGCAAATTGTTGAAACACACTTTCAGGGTGGGAAAAAAAAGTCACATCTGTGCAGATAAAAGGAATGTTGTATAACAACACATGTTGAGCAAATTGGAAACAAATAACAATATCCATGAGGAAAAACATTATTAGTGAGATAAAGAAAGTGTACAATTAAAAGCATGCTTGAATGCACATATTGGGCTGATTGGGAGCATAGTCTAACAGGATATGCTGTAGTTTCTTCATAATTTAGCTTTACTTTTACAAGTAGAGATATTTGCATTTAAAAGTTGAAAAAAGAACAAAGTGGCAACTTTTTATAGACAATTAATTTCCTATATTTGTTTTAATTTCAGGAATGTAAATTGACAAACTGAGCAGAAATTTAATTAAATTCAACTCATTTATATCGCACAAAATTCCCAACCCGTTTTATCTCAAGGCAATTCACAGAGAAAGTTCAACAAGAATATAAATTCAGATTGGTCCAAAGATTTTGATTTAAAGAAAACCAGCTGATTGCATCGACTCATTGACTCGACACTAATTCCTCACACCAAGCATGTATGTAACGACAGTGGAGAGGAAAACTTCCTTTTAATAGGAAGAAACCTCCAGTGAAACCAGGCTCAGCGTGAGCGGCCATCTGCCGAGGCCGACTGGGGTTCAAGGAGACAGAAGCAGGCATGCAGAAAGAAGAAGAGATACAAAACCAGCTCCACAGGAGCCATGAAAAACACAGCCAGGCAGACGAGCTCGGAAGCAGCTGCATGAAAGAGAGCAAAATACAGTAAGAGAAACAGGACTACACTGAAAAACAATCCAGGCTCCAACATCTATAAACAAAGGTGTATGGCAGCAGCACAGCTGGTATTTCTCTCCGGGACGATGTCACAGCTATACAGGGACCAATCAGATGAAGCCCCTATGATGACAGGGGTAAAAAGCCTCTTTCCCATTTTCAGTGGGAAAGAGGCTAACAATTGGCATTTGGCTTTGTTCACATTAGTATAAAAAGCTGGGTCTAATCCCTGGCTGGCAAGCTGCATGGCCTCTGTCCAGGAGCTGCTTGTCTGGTGACAAAATCACACTGGGTTAGCATAGACTATGTACCACATGCGACACAAATCAGGAGAATAAACAATGGAGGACAACATGTAAGGAAGCCAGGGTGTAGTCAGTGTGCTGTATTGTTTCTCTCTTTTATTTGTCCGAATCCCTCTTATGAGTGCTTCCCCAGGTTTATTGAATGTAAAAAGACTTGTTTTGCCTTGTTAGATCAGACGCGACTGGCGCAGTGTGTTGACATCCGTATGTCTTTTTCAATCATGTAAATTAGCAGGTCAACATGGGTCTGCTGTTCCCACAGTTTGCCGATCAGAGATGAGGCAATTTTAACAGGTGGCGCTTGCCGAGTCTTTTGACCAAGGTAGACACGGTTCAGTGAGCTGTTTCGTCTGCCACTAAAAGCCGGTTATTCCCTGGTTTAAAAAAGTTTTTGAGCCAGCGGGAGAGGGGTATAGGATACAATCATATCTCTGATATAAAAGGGGACCTTGGCCATTTAAAGCTTTATATGTCATATACAGTCTCATATTCATTTGGATGGTTTGCTGAATAAACACAAAGCAGCATTAATCTGAGTCATCTGTTTAGCTAGCTTTCCCTTATCATGATCCGGAAGCCTGTAATGACTGAAAATTTAGGCCCTCACTGATTTAGACCACTAGATGACAGCATTGGTCAATAGGAAAAATAAGTGGCCTATTTAGAGTGTCTGTATCCATGGCTGAAAAATATGCATTCCCAGAGTGTCTGTCTCTCTGAGACAATTAATTAAATATTAAAAATCAGGAATCCTCTTGTCTGAGTGTCTAAGTGTAACACACTGCTCATTATGCATTATTAAGTTGCCATGTGTTGTATATTATTTATTGTCTTTGTTGCATTGCAACAGTTTCTATCATAACAAACAATTGTTTGAACAAGAGGCAATACCAGCAGTGGCTCAAGAGATTTTTCTAAGCATTGAGCTGATGGTGCTTTGAAGCATCCTTTCCTACATCTTTTAATGAATGCAGATGCAAACAAAAACAGATTATTATTTTATCCAAAAGTCAACAATAAGGTGGATAATTAATATGTGGTGTTCTGCTATTAGATTAATAGATATAAAAACACTTTTATAATGTAGTATGTAAACTATTACAATCAATTCACTGTAATTTTTTCTCGGGATTTGAGAAAACAAAATAAAGTTAATTAATTGTGAATTCTGGCAATTAGGCAAATAAATAATAAATTTAAAATTACCTACCTAAGTTTTGGTTAGTGTCCCAAATGATTTTTACTTTTTTAAATGCTTTTTCTTGTATTCTGCTGTTTTTTCATTGTGTATATGAAATAGTAGGGGAAAAACTCATTTTGCCCCCCAAAAAAATCTAAATCAAGGAAAAAATTAAAAGAGAATTAATTAACAGTCAAATTATTTGGATATAAAATCACAAATATGAACAATTAAGGAAATATATTTATCAT